GGTTCGATCTGTGCAAATGAACTTTTACTCTCAATAATAAATATCACAGGAGGTCTATTGTTAGAAAGGTGAAGTTTGTTAAGGTTGTTAATAAAGGAGAGGTCTGGTGTTAGAAAGAAGTGTGATAAAAGAAGAATAGCGGATGCATAAATAATTTATAAATACAAACCTTCAAGCGTATCAAACAAAGAAATACATTGCAATATCTGAGTAAAAGTGTATGGCAGTTGGAAACGACGAACAATCAAAAAAAAAAAGACTCAAGCTTGCATACATAAGTAATTAATATATAAGAAATTCTTGCTTGAATAACTTACACATGATTTATGTTAGTAATAACAGACGTCAACTTCATATTTTTTAATGAATTATATGGATGAGGATAAGGATATGTTCATGAATAATCTAAGGAGAAACACGTTCACGAATTATATGGAATATGCATTCCCCAGTTGCATGGAAAATACATTCCCATATCATATAGAAAATATGTTCACGAATCCTATGAAAAATACGTTCACGAATCCTATGAAAAATACATTTACGAATTCTATAGAAAATACATTTGTGAACCATATGGAAAATACGTTTACAAATCATACATATAAGACACTTACAAATCATACATGGGATGCATTTACAAATCATATATCAGATTTGCTTACAAATCATACATGGGATTCACTTACAAGTCACCAAAGTGACACATTCACAAATTATATGAACGATACATTTACAAATGTTATACTTCAAATGAATGTTTCTAATATCATAGTTGTTGACAAGAAGATCAGAGTGAGTTAAAGTTGTACATGTTTGTCTCTCATTACTAATAATTTGTCTAATCATTATGAATCCTTGTATTTTCTGCTTCATGATTTATAAAGATTGATCATAATGAATCGGTTAGTGATTCTTGTGAGTCAATTAAAGACATTACGAATTGTAATGATACAGATAATGAAAATACTCTTGAGGTAAATTGAATTAATGAGTAATACAAGTTTTCTTCATAATAAAATAATAATTAATAATATGTTTTTTAGATATTTTATTGGCACTGTTTGCCAAATTTTTTGTAGGATATTTTTCCTTCTAATTATAGTTATATGATTTAGTATCTTATAAAATTGCTGTCATACTATATTTATGAAAGCTTTGAAATACAGTAATTTGAGATTGATATGTTCATTAATATTTCAACTGTGAATGATATAAAAGTATGGTTTGTTACCTTTAAAGAACACTTGAAAATAATGATGTCATAGACAAAAAGGTATTGGGTTAAAGGCAAGCAAGTTATTTTTAGAGAATTAAGATATTGCATTCATAGTTAAATAGTTAGAAATAAACAAGGTGATTCTAAATGAAAGTGTTCAGAATCTTTACATAATAGAAATACAAGTTGTTTAGCAACCTTGTGTTTACAATTAGAATGTTAATGTTTAACTATTAGTCACCTTTTGGAGATTAAGCTTTGCTTTAAACATAATCATATTATTAATTCAATTGAGTTACTTAGTTTTAGACATGTACATGAAAAAATATGGAATAAATTTTTACAAATGTTTCATAATAGTTATTTATCTGTGTTTATTTTATATATTCATGAAGATGAATTGTATCTTTTAGCTTTATCAAATGAAAACCTTACTGAAATTCTTGTGATTTATTCTAATTATACTTATATACTGCATCTTTTTGAACAGTATTACAATTCTCAGCTTGATGAACAAAATAAGGCATTAATATTTCAGTGTCTAAGTAAAGAATTTACAAATTATAATGAGTTAGATTATAGGTGTATAATTTTTCAAGAATATGACTCACAAATAAAAAAAGCTTTTATATTATGTATTATTACAGAATTAATGAATCAGATACATGAGAAAATTCATAAAGTAGGAGAAATTTGTTACATAGATGCATCTGCATTATTTGAACTATTAAATATACTGATAAAATTTTTATATACAAATTGTATAGTAAGTATATTATCATTAGAATTTTTTATTACATCTGATGAACTTGTAATCATAATTGAAAAAGCTATTAATCTCTTAAAATTAATTCTTCCTAAACATGTATTTTTTGGTCATAAATATGAGGTTGGATTTCAAAATATTTTAACTGGTGATTTTGATGCAGAATAAAGTGCATTAAAACTATGTTAACCATAATCCAATTTGGTTTTGTATATATTTCATATATTATAGGCATTCTGGTACTAGTTATATAACTCAAAATATGATATTAACAAAGAACATTATATAGTTATTATAAATCAAATAAAAAAAAATTTGAATACATATACAGAAACTGATCTTAATAATTATTATTAAGAATTAAAAAACACTTATTATCATTAATATCTATTATTTACAAAACATTATAAGTATTTTTAGAAGTATCAACAATATTAGGCATATTATTTTGATTAAATTTACTATTATATAATAATTATACAAATAATTATATAGAACATAGTTTTAGTTTGTTTAAGAACATTATTTTTGCAAGAACATAGGTTTTTAATTTAGTTTAAGTGTTTTATTTTATTACTAAAAACATAGAATAATTTTATGAATAATATCTATATGAATTTGCATATTGACATCCTGGTCATATAGAAATTGCAAGAAGGTTCTTATGTTCTAGTTAGAAAACTATTAATAAAGATTTAATTTGTTAGCTAGAAAATATAGATAAATATATAGTATTAAGTACAAAAAAGAAATCAGAGTTTGTCTATATTATAAACAGTGCTATTAGAACATGTATATGTTTTATTGGATTAACAGATATACCATGTAAACACCAAGTTGCTGTTATAATGAAATATTATATCAGAATTATTAACTTTTTATCTTTATTAATCTATAATAATCATATAATTTTTTTATATATTACAAGTAGTTAGTATTAGTATAATTAAAGTTAAAATGCATATAACATTATAGTAATTGATTTTTTTTTTCAAAGACTTAATGTGAAAGATCATTCTTTTTATATATCATTATGTCCAGATTCTGCTTTAATTAATCAAAATAATATTATAAATAAAAATAGAAATGAAGATTTACATATTGATCTATAACAATAACTAAAAGCAGGATTGGTACAAGTAACAAATTTGGGTTTATTTTTATATATATTAAATATTATTATCTTTATTTTTTTATAAATTTTATATACTACTACTATACTTTTATAAATTTTATATATTATTACTATTATTTTGTATATTTATTGTATACATATAAAGAATAAAATTTATACTAAAGACTACAATATTATTTATTGAAATGGAGGATCAAGAAGCAGATTTTGATAGTTATCATTTAATAATTTTTTTAAAAAAATTGAAGATAATTATAAATACTGTAGTTCACAAGTACAAATGGCATTTAATAAGTTTACTAAACAATACAAAGCTACCAAATTACTATTAATTGGATGATTAATTGCTTTTCTTTATGATTATAATCTTGATTCCTTAGCATATATTAAAAATAGAACAATAATTTAAGTTCAACTTGAATCTGTAAAATGAAAAAAAGCAACTATTAAACAAAGAATTGGTGCAAATAAGAAAAATGATTCTCAAGAAATTCTCAAGCATAAAGTGTGAAAAACAAATAAAACTAGACATAATTTGTGTATAAATATTTTAAATGATACATTAAATTAATAGTAACACTCAAATTATTATTTGATATATTGGGATTTCAGAATTAATGATTCGATATTTAATTTCAAATAAAATAAATAATGTATTCATTGTGATATACAAATTCTATTCTTTTAAATTATATGATTATTTGTATAATTGCTTACTGATGAATGTAATAAATATTTTTATCTAGTATTATATTTAGCTATATCTTTTATTTTAGCAATTTTAACTACAATATACATTAAAATCAGATTTATTGCATAATAAAACCTAATACATAGTAATGTTAAAATGTTTACAGCAGAGACTGTTAATGTTACACATATATTAAAACTGGTGAAGGATTATATCCATCACAAATGAATTTAACATAAATAATTTAATTTGTAATTACAAATGAATTTAACATAAATAATTTAATTTGTAATTACAAATGAGAGGGATTCACTTTGGATCGGGCACTGTTTCCGCTGTAAAAACGTTTAGTCGGCATCACTACTAGGATACAAGAATTATCTAAAATTATTATAAAATTGTTTTATTAAACAAGTCTTATGTAATTTACAATTAAAAATTTATTATGCAGAATAAAATTCAAATATTTTAAAAGATTAAAGTTACAGCAGAGACAGTGCCTGATCCAAAGTGAATCCCTCTCGCCTGTGATCAATCACAAATTATTTATGTTGGATTCAATTGTGATGGATATAATCCCTCACCAG